CAAGAATGATGAGCTCAGGGAAGAATGTAAGTAATAACAACAAATTGTCATAAAGAAAGCTGAAATTATCTCAACACGAGGGGGACTGGGTGGTAACATTTGTTTTAGGTATACAGCTGTATCACTGTCATCAGATTGCATAAACAGCCTTCCCTGAAATAACTAGTCGAGAGTAGTTTTCCTGAGCTAGCCAGACCAGTGTGGGAGGGGAGTCTGTATGTGACTCAGCCCAATATAAAGTATAAAAACTGAACAACTCACAAAATCGGTGTGGAAGAGAGCAACTGGCTTGAGCTGGGTTTAACCTACATATTCCTTCCTGGCAACTGGGGACACAGTGTCATGATGGTGAGCATTTAGAGCCCAGTAACAGGAATTTGTACAATACATTTGTATTTCAATTCTGCTGTATATTGCAATTGCTATACCGTGCTTGTGCTGTGATTTCAGTATATTGCTGTATCACTCTGCTAAATCAAAATCCTGGGTACATCCATGAGAACCTGGTTAGAGAGTATTGGAGTCTGGCTAGGGGATGATAAATGATCCCAAGACAAAATAAGAAAGCATTACTGAAGGCAAAACCTCCCCCTTTTTCTGGATTACCTGTTCCAGGTCACTGAATTGAAGATCTCCCGATAGGAAATCACATGTCTTTCACAGACTCAAATACTGAAAAGTTGGTTCATCTATAGACGACTAGTATAGCCACAGACCCTGAACCTTTAATAGTCATATCCAGTGAAACCTGAAATGAGAAGCCTGCCTAATTTGCTCAAGTCCTGTCTGAGTCTAAAAAAACCACAAAAAACCACAACAACCAAATGACTAGCCTCGTGGTATTCTCCATGCTCCTAACTAAAAGAACTTTTAATAGACCACTAGAACCAATTAAGATGTAGATGACAATCACTTTTTCAGAGGTTCCAGGAATGTGTGACCCCAGGTCTTACCACCTATTTTCCCTGTACAGTGGGAGGAGACAGCTACAGGAGGATCACTAGATGATTTTGCATGACAGGCAATAAACGGCTTGATGCTGAATGCTAAATGAACTACTAGTGGCAGGACTGTGGAGAGATTTAATTATTGCAATGATTTAATTATGACAATGTAATGTATCTGCTCTCAAGAGAGGTTCTTGAAAATTTCCTTCTGAGTAACTGATGTAAATGTTTTCTTTGACTTAAGAATATTTAAGATGACTTTCCTTTGGGATCTTTTTCAAGTTATTCATGGTGGATTAAACAACAACTTTGCAACACATTTTTTCTGCACACTTTTAAACTCCTTCAGTCTGTATAACACCGTAAGGCCTTCTGCCCAATTTTGCAGTTTGATCAAAGATCTCTATAAGAAAATAAAATTTCTCTTAGAAAGCACTGAATGGGCACAAAGAGAAATCTGTAATAGCAGTCACTGTCATCATCATATTTTTGAATCATGTATCCTGTTTTGCTCTTTCTCATTTATTAGTAAATCATTATCATGGCTAAAGTATGGCAAATAACCTGCTGTGCTTAAAACAGCAGAAGTTACAGACCTGAATTTGCAGTCATGACAGACTGCAAGCCTCAACGTGCTTTGGCAGATTGTGGTTTGGTTGTTAAAATTAGACAATAGCTCAGAACACCCCTTTCCACCCTGCCAAAGCCACCTGATGAAGGTGTAAGCTGACAGGAAACAGATAAGCCTAGAGATTACAACCTGAAACAGATCTCAGGGAAGAAACAAAGCAAAAGGGCAACTAGGAGTAAGTGCCTGGTTCCAGAGAAGCATGTAATAGGAGAAGTCTTTTGAAATGGACTTAGAAACTGTTGGGGTTTTAGCTTTACCCAAGCAACTACTTTGCTTTTCTTCTTCCTACATTCAAATTGGGATTTGCTTTGCTCTTTCTTCAGCTGCAGAACTCCTTCGAAATTCACACAGGGCACCAGTAGCCTAAACCCTATGTAGAGCTGAAGGAAAATGAAATCTCAGCAAGACAGAAGATTTCTTGGGAATCTCAGTTTCATTAATCTGCTGACACAGTTGTTAAGACCACACTAGTAACAACATAGACAAGATGGCAACTGGAAGCAGAGGAGAAAAAAGGGCAGTGATGAAGGACTCCCTCAGTGTGACAAGCAGTAATCCAAGTATTTAGCTATTCATTTTCTCCATAAAACATACCTCTGGGTTTGAACTGTCCCAGTCAGATAGGGACATCTAATACTTTGTAGAGGCATAAGGAGAAAGAAAGTAAACACTACAGACAGGTCAGATGATAGATACCCCACCACAGCAAAAGGGAGACTGGGGCAACAGGGGAGAGTAAGCCAACACTCTCTTTTTGGAAGCAGCTGTAATTTCTGCCTGTTGAAGCATCAACCCATTTCAAAACTGATCTCTCTGTCCAGATTTTAAGGATGGAGCAATTTTGCCGATTTTGCTACTTTCTAACTTCCTTGAACTGTTTGCTTTATAAAAGAGGCTTCAGTGAAGTGCAGTTACATGCATTTAAACAAATGTCAGCTACTTCATGTGTAACTGGACAACAAGATGCCATTCTACATTCCCACCTCCACTTTTTAAATCCCAATCACTTTTGTGAGAAACGTTTATGAAATTGCTGCTATGTGCAGGTACCAGTTGTGGCCAATACAAACAGTAAGTGCTGCAGCCCTTTTTTACAGCTGATTGTGTGAATGTAACAGATCCCACTTTAAAAAAAAGAGAAATTTTAACAAATGCTTGGGGAACATACTGTGCTTATTAATTTTACAAGAAAACCTAGAATTCCTTTCCTAGCCTGGCCAGTAGCAGATAGCCTTCATCTTCTCTTTCTATATTGCTATCAACCAGAGAGATTGCAGTATAGTGTGGGGTAGGGCACAGTGCAGGAAAGTCAACAGCTGAAAGACAGTCAGTTGTTTCCATGCCAGCCTTCTTCCGTCACTTCAGAGCTCTGCAATATTGACAGCCCTCACAGGCCTAGCAGTCCACACTCAAGCCCACTGACAGAATGGACTGCATTTCTTCTCAGAAAAATCCTTTGATAATAAGGAAAGGAAGGATCAGCAGTGGGGCAGCAGTCCCCTCTTCAGCATGATACTACTGAAACCCTCAAGACAATCAATAATCACTCCTCTCAATGGAAGGACTTTCACCTGAGTCAGCCATTAAACCAACTTCACCAACAGGAAAAGCTTAAACACACAAGAACCCTACACATCAGCCATTTATCAGCCTTAAATTTACCTTGCTGACTTACTTTTTGTTGGGCTCCTTTTCTGGAGGGCTATGAGGCTAAAATACCTGAAGAAAGGGCCCAACAAGCACAGCAGCCAGAGCATAAGGTGGGGGGAGACAGGGATCTTTTACGAGCCAAACTTGCTGCTTTTTCGAGTTGAATTCCCCCACAGAAGGGTGCAGCCAGCACCGGAACCACTGCAAACAAGAAGGGTGGTAATGGGAGTAGACAGCCAAATGGCAAAGGGATGCGGGGATGGCAGGAGCCCCCCAACCACAGAGGTGTGGTGTTGCAGCAACCCACTGTGCCTCAGGAAGTCACACTTTAAATTCCTGGAGAGTAAGAAGAGAGGGCATTTTGCAGAGAAAACAGAAACAATCTGCTATCTGGCCACACATGCCAACAGCATAGCAACATTCGTTTAAATGCCTTTTCCTTGTCACTTTTTTAATTTGAGCATTTTCAAGTTTATTTTCAGTATGAAGCATAACAGCAGCAAGATTCGGCAACACTGTGAGAAAAACCCAGCATCTAAACAAGGGAACTACTTCAGAAAAAGAATACAAAATATCAAGCTAGTTTTGGCAAAGTCCTGGGAAAAGAGGAGAGAGAGGAGTTAAAAATCTAACACACCATTTGCTTTTTATTTTTAATCAGGTATAATAAATGTACACAAAAGGATGCATCAGCATTTTTGTTCATCTTAAGTATATGAAATGGTAGGGATAGTAGATACATGGTATGAGTGAGGTCAGAAGTACCAAGACTGGTTTGAAACATTTCAAAATGTCATGCTAACAGGATATTAAGTGAAGCTTTTAAAGCCGTCATGAACAGGGCTTGATTACTATCAGAGCTAGACTCCACACTACACAAAAAAGTTTGACATGGACTGAGAAAAGCCATCTTCCTCATGTCTGATATATCCAGGAATTTCAGCTGTGAAAGCTACAATAGAGTTAACATGATGCCATTTTCTCTGATTTTGAATGAGTTCGTTGACTAAACAAATTATTAGACAGTAAGTGCAAACTGGTGCACTACTTTGTCATGCTAAATTAATTTTTAGAAAGTCTTAATAAGGCTGAAGGAGAGGCAGCAGCATTTGAGATATTAAAAACCAGTCTAGCACCAAGCAACTCCCAAAGTCTAATTCCATAACTGCCCTTTGGTGGATGCCTTTTGGGGAGTGAGGGAAAAAAAAAAAAAAAAAAATCACAGTATACTGCAATGAAAGTCACAAATGCCTGACACCCTGGATAAGTAAAAAAACTTCTTTGTGAAGTTATACACAGTTGAGATGTGAGTTCAGACTAACAATTTCAAAGATGAGTACAACATTCTACCCATTACAGTGTTTAAGGGAATGTCACACTCCAACATATTAGGGACTGTATATTATCAGTGTACTTTGGAAAAGCAGTCACTCTAAACAGTGCACTGCCTTATGATCCTGCCAACAGCCCAACAACATGGAGTCTGGAGAAAAGGAGGCTGAGAGGAGACCTTATTACTCTCTACAACTACCTGAAAGGAGGTTGTAGTGAGGTGGGTGCTGGTCTCTTCTGTCAGGTGGCTGGAGATAGGACAAGAGGAAATGGCCTCAAGTTGCAGCATGGGAGGTTTAGATTGGATATTAGGAAAAATTTCTTTACTGAAAGGGTTGTCAGGCATTGCAACAGGCTGCCCAGGGAAGTGGTTGAGTCACCATCCCTGTAGATATTCAAAAAGTGTGTAGACAAGGCACTTCACGACATGGTTTAGTGGGCATGGTTGGTGGTTGGACTTGATCTTAAAGGTCTTTTCCAACCTAAATGATTCTATGATTCTATACATGTTCAGTGCAGCACTGCACTTCAGGAGTATTTTTACAAGCCCTCCAAACAAAAGCCTCTTCTACAGCTCTCATCAGCTATGCTAACAAATTCTCCTCATCTCCCTCACAACACACACATGGTGAAAGGGTGAAAGGTTACTCCAAAAGAAGAGGTTCATTTACATACCTTACCAAAGGGATCCAGGAATTAGACTCTTTGCAGTGCTTTGAAGGCATAGCAAACTGAGGTTGGAAGTCTTCCCAGGCTGAAATGTGTCTCTTACCTTTCTCTATCTTTCTGCAGCACTTGCAGGTGTTCTTAGCTGGCCTAATTCTGCTCCTTCTGAAACCAGTGAAAACTACTTCCTGGGGATCACCAAAGCCAACATTAAATGCCTTGACAAAGCTTTGCACTAAGTGTACAACAACCTCAACTTCACTCTCAGCCAGATTCAGTTCCCCATCCCCTGTAAGCAGGAGACATCCACTGGGGAAAAAAAAAAGAAAAAAAAAGAAAGAAAAAAATAACAGATTTTAAATGTATTCAACCTTGCATCCTTTGCTTCTGTAAATCAATTCAGATTTTGTAAACTAAATGCATGTTCTAATTCTGACATGCTTGCATTTTCAATATATTAGAAGTGTATTGAACTGAAATGACAATGAAGAAAAAAATGTGATCTCATTTGTATGACTGCTTATTTACTGTTTTAGAATTCTGGAGAGTCTTACACACATAATTAGAGAGCATTTATTTTTTAAACTAAATTTCTTGGCCTAGCAAAGTGAAAACTGATGTTCATGACTTCTAGGCAGGTACTTCTACAACTTCAAAATAGTCATTGGGCAGAATCACATAGCCTTTTCCTGCCAATATGTCTTTTTCTTTCTGAAACTGAACAATCTCTCTCAGTTTTTCAATTTGTCTTTCCTGACGCCGGCATCGCTGTTGCGCTGTCTTGAGCTTCTTCCGCAGTTTTTCAACTTGTTCCTCCAGCTGCTGAATTCTTTTTCGCTGATGAACTGTATCCTCTACAGTATAGTTGTGATCACAAAAAACAGCAAGATTGCTAGGGGTCTGGAGAGGAGGCATCAATAATCCAATACTTGGATCTACAAATCTAGCATCTATCTGAGACAAATGAAAAGAAGGAGTTGATGGAGATGGTGGTAATACTGGAGCTGCTGCTGGTGGTGGTGGTGGAGGTGGTGGAGGCGGTGGCGGTGGTGGAGGTGGTGGTAGTGGATCTTCTGGCTGTTCTGCAAATTCTTCAAGCTAAAAACAACAAGGAAAAAAAATACATTTTCATGCTTAATATTGTTTACAACACAACTTCCTTACTAGGCCCCAGAATAACATAAACAACCAGGACTGAAATTAACAAAATAAATTTCAAAGCCTACATTTTCAAAATTGACACACAGTTCTGTGCCTGTTTTGTGTGGCTTCTCAACTGGAGATATTTTTAAGCAGCTTCATTTTCAGGGCACTTTGAAACTCAAGTCTTTGATGTCTCAAATAAATCAAAAACTGAAGAATGTAGCAAATACTCTTCCTTGAAGACTTAGGTCAAATACATATCCATGATTAGCTAAGAAGCAAGAATGCAGGCTGCAGTTCCATAAAATGGAGTTCAGCTGACCTAATAATTCATCACTGCCATCCCATTCCCCTTTGTCACTCCTCCTTTCTGCTGCATCTTACCATGATATACTTTGAACCTATTAGCTAACTTAATCAAAAACACAGCAGAAGTGGATAATCTTTTGCTGAGGTAGAATAAGGGTCACCTACTGAGGGGGCTGATAAGGTCCAGAGCAGAGAGGTAGACAGAGCAAGGCCTGCCTCTCAACAAATGGGAAGGGACTGTGTCACTGGTTTTGGGCTGCAGCATAAGGGTTTGGTTTCAAGAGACATGATGAGCCAAAATAAACAGGTCTTCAAAAGCAAAGCAGCCCTCCCAGCCCTGGTATTTACTCTCTGTTCAGACATAGTAAGTTGCCAAGATGACAGAAAGCTATTTGCTCTCCCACTGCAGAAATCTTCTGTCCTTTATTAAAAGTCAAAGCAATGCAACACGAGGTATGACCTACACCTGCACTGGTGTGTGGAGGGAGTGAGAAACAGGACTGCACGGCTGGCAGATGGGATAGAGAAGGGAGAAGCACAATTCTCCCTTTTGGCAGCAGCAGAATATCAATTGGCTCAACTCCACACAAACCAGCAACTTTTATCATACTGCTCTCAATAGGTTCACTTGTATGGTTCAGGACAACATGGATCCCTCACCACTTGAGTATAGGCCAGAGCAGAGAATCAGATTCTTTCTGCCCCAAAGGAATGCACTATAATTCAGAAATGCTTCTGTGTGCATGGTGATAAAAAAAAACCTCCACTGTTTAAACAAAAAAGCTTGCATATTGACTGTCAAAAAGAAAGCCTAAGACATTCTCAGTGAAAGAAGTACTGAACCAACTTTCTAACTACCCACCTGTTTCCAATATTATTACTACACATAAAAGCATAAGGGCAGGGAAAATGTTGACTATAAGACCAGCTGACAATCCTCACCATCTAAATATCAGGCTCATCACATCTGAAGGTCGTATCATTAACTTCCTTGACTTTGCAAATTTCCTTGTAAACAAGCTAATACTTGATATTTGGGGGGTCTAGATATCCCTCTTGTACAAACTACAACACTTGGCAGGCAGTAACTGAGAAGGCAGTTTTGTGATAGGTGTTGAAGGGAAGTTTCACATGCACTCAAATATTACTGATCACTTTAAAGTATAAACCCAGCCAACTATCACTCTTATTTCTCAATTACAAGAAATCACTGCTAACCGTGTGCCTAATTCATGCATGAATGTTCTACAGAGCTTAACCCTATCAGCTATCACTTTCAAACTTCTCTACTAAAAAAACTACAAGGCAAAGATGTAATCGGCAAACAGAAGTTCACCCTTGTTGGAAGCACAAGCATAAATCATATCATTGCTGGACAGCTGAATTCACAGAGACTTCCATTTGCAGCTTATCCAGCACATGCTACCACTCTAAATATGTTACAATGTATCACAGAAAACAGCTCCTTGGTATCGCGGACACATAGTAAGTGAATTCTAATTACTTCTTACCACCAACAAATGGTTCTCCTAAGACGTAAGTAAAGAAAAAGAAAGAATTTCAAATTACATAGTGCAAAAGATAAAAAGCTGAATTTCAAAATCAGTGTGGATTCAATTCCAAAAAAACCACTACTATTCTTTGTTACTATGTTATTTCTTGAGGATATGTGGTAGTTCATTTAAAAGTGCCCTGAGACAAATAGGAATAGCACTAAATGCTTCTCCGCAATCAAAAGGCAGTCTTCTGTGTTTTTGTAGATCCAGGCATGATAATGAAATGGAGAATGTGGCTCACCACTAATCCTGCTGCACCAATCGCACTTTTGCAGATTACCCTATACACCCACTCAGCTTCCAGACTGCAAAAAATCTTGCAACTATTTTACACGTGACAAAGAAAACATGTGTGGTACAGATGGCAGGGAAGCATAATCAAACAAAAATCTTAACACAGCCGTATTTACCTGGAAATTGTCTGTCTTTCCTCAGGTACCTTCTGCTTATATTCTCTTCTCTGTTATTAACCACTTTTCATTTTTCAAACACATTCCCCTTTTAATTCTGCGTCAAATCCAATATTGTATATAAAGAGAAAAATCAAACAAGCAAAAGTCCCAGTGTTCCTCTGTGCACTTCATCCCATTACAGTCTTTCACCCCCTAGACCTATCATATCCATTCTCTCCTTTGTCACTTCCTCTACGGCAGAGTGGCAAGAGATCTAATATTTTATATCCTTTACAGGAGTTAAGAATCAATCTTTTCCATTCTTGTCTTGCAGTTATTACATCAAGAAGGAAGACCTCATAACTGACTTGCACCTCACAGTAAGCTGCTTTAGCAGCACAGTGAAGGGAACAATACCTCTCACAGGAGACTACCATGAGATGTTCAGAGACACAAGTTAGGGACCAGTCTGGCTTGTGAACACAAGGTAACTGTTAAGGCAAGACAGAGGTGGTTTCAGCACAAACAGATAGCAGGTGCAGCTACTGTTCTGCCCCTCTGTTTGTATCTCCCTTTAACTCTGTGAAGCCAGAGGACAGAGCCCTTTAGAGAGGACAGTAGCCACCAGTCAGCGTGGGAGAGTGCAGTGCAATTTGCAAGTATTATTGAAGGCTCTCTAAAACTCCATATATGCCACAAATACAGCTGAACAACTTAACTACAGGGCAATACCTTCTCACTTTGCTGCTGTTCCATTTAATTCAGCACAAGGTTTTAACAGAAGTTACATAGCTCAGGTTTCTGCGTAGGCACACAAGAGTAGATCAGAGCTACTGCACGTTTGTACAGTGCACTATATGCTCCAGAGCCTCGGACAGCCTACATCTCTGCTCTTGTCAAAGCAAACAAGAACAGCAGTTGGATGTGTTTCAGCCACCACAGCCCCCCACGTGCCTCCAGGTGCACATGCTCAGCCAGCATCCTTCACAATCTGCATCTTCTCCCTGCTGCTCTGCTACATCAAGCCCTGCTAGGCTAATACGAGCAAGATATGTGCATTCCACTACCTTAAACTATGAGTTCTTTGGGTTTACCTTTTCACTGGGTTCAGTATAACAAAATATTGTGGGCACAGCATTTTCTTTCAGAAGCTTGTTGTTGCATTCCCTTTTAAAGCAATCAGGAGTAAAGTGTTCTGAACAAATGCTGCTATACTTGGTTGGCTTGAAGTTTTTCCTTTTAACAGCGGCTTCCCATTTCTTGCAAAGATCAGGTCTTGTAAGAGGAAACCTGCAAATAAGAAGTACTTTCAGCTTTTCTGGAAAGCTTTTTAACTCGGGGTCGGGTTACAGCTAAGCACTGCTGTGACTAACTGCACGATCGCTTGGTTTTTCCTCTGATGGGCTCATCCTCGGAGCCAAACCCCTCCTGCCAACCCAGACCTCGCACACGGACCGGCATGGGGGTCTTAGCCCTCTGAAACCCCCGGAGGGGGCGGCCCCCCCTCCCCGAAGAAGGCGGCAAAAAGCGTGCTGTCCCCCGCCGTTCCTCCGAGACCCCCAGGGACAGGGAAGGGGAGGCGCTGGGGCCCGGCGGGGCTCCCCCCTCAGCGGCCGCGGGGGACCGCTGCGCCCCGCCCCCCCGACACACCGCGCGCCTGTCCCCCT